GCTGCTGGGGCGTAAGTGTCTCGCGCGGACGCGGATGCAGCTGCAGCTGGCCACTGCCAGACGCTCCCGTCTGACCAGCTCCAGGGCGACAGCCACGACGGCTACCGCCACAACCCCAACTAGCGTACCACTCACGAAGCTGCTGGGGCGTGAGAGACTCGCGCGGACGTCGCTGGAGCTGCATCTGGCCACCGCCAATAGCAGTAGTAGCAGCAATAGCAGCAGCAGCAGGGCAGGCGTGGCAGGCAGGCGAGCAGGCAGGCAGGCAGGCAGGCAGATGGCGTGGCAGCGCGCTACAGCCTACACAATATGAACAGTATAACAGTTTGACACAACAGCGCGGGTTTCGCTGCTGCGGCGCGGACTCCACTCCGCTCCCTAGCTGCGCGCTGCTACCGTACCTGCAGTTCGGGGGCTGAGCGGCCAAATCGCGGATTGGTCAGCAAAGTCGCGCTTTTGCGGCTAGGTCGCAGGCGGGGCGGCTAGATCGCTGGCTGAGCGGCTAAGACGCGGGCTGGGCGGTTAGATCGCGGCCTGGGCACGAAGATCATGGGCTGGGCGGCTAAATTGCGACCTGGGCGGCTCGATCGCGGCCTGGGCGGCTCGATCGCGGTCTGGGCGGTTAGCTCGCTGCTGCATGCGGCTAAACCGCTGTCTGGGCGGCTGAATCACGAGCAGGGTGGCTAGATCACAAGCATGTAGCGAGAAACACTATGCTGCCTGCGAATCGTGCTGCTGCTAGAGGGAAGAGCGCTGCTGACTGCAAATCGCTCTGTGATGGTGATTTAACATACATAATTATAGAAAGGGCCTCTTTGGAAATATGTCAGAAACCTGTCAATGAGCTGGAAAGTGAACAAGTCACCAGGCAGCTGGTGTAGGCAATGGATAACGGGGTATAGTACGCATTATACAACAATTAAGATTACAATTGCCCTTACAGGTTTAGCGGAAAAATTAAGTGATAGTAGCATGGCGAGAGTCAGCCAACCTACAATACAGAGCACACATTTGTGTGCACAACTCAGCCCAACTAAAAACCCACTGAATCAGCCCACCGAACACGACCGAGCGAGTGTGTTTTAGTTGAGGGGCTCCATGGGGAAGTCCTCGACGGGGCTGAGCTGCTTGGCGCGGTGATACTCCGTTTGCGCGCAGTCCACGGACAGCACGGAGCTCGACTCGTACAGCCGGGGAGTGCCGTCAAGGAACCCAGCGCCCTCCTGGCTGTCAGCCGAGATCGGACGGTGCAGGTTCGCGATCAGGCGCTGGAAGTCGGCGGCGCGAGCCGCGTGGTCGGGGCGGTACGTCTGGCCGAGCACGCCGTGCACGTCGTCGGTGTGCTCCAGCTCCACAATCCCCACGTTGATGTGCGCCTCGGCCTCGCTGGGCGTCTGCAGCTTGGGGTTGGCCACGCGCAGGCGCAGGTCGAGCGCCACCAGCCCGTCGATCGCAAGCGTGTAGTAGTCCACGTCATACGGGCCCTCCTTCTCCAGCGCCGCGAACCGCAGAGTCAGACCGCCCTTCGCCGTCACCTCGTCGCCCACGTTCATCCTCGGGATCTCCTCTCCGTCAATCTCGATCGTCTTCATGAATCCGTCGCCGCGCTCCTGCTGTTTGCCAGAGCGCGCCGCGAGCCGCACCTTGTGGTCGGCGCCGTTGGCGAACCATATGATGCCCAGCTCCTTGATCCACGTGTGCACGGCCTTGCCGTCCACAACGAGCGCCGCGTTCTCCGTGTCGTCCGAGTAGTACCCGCGCAGCAGCATGTTCACGTGCAGGTCCTTGTCCGTCAGCAGGCAGAACGCCTTGTCGGGGCGCCCGTTGAAGTCGAAGTGCGTGCCGTACGCGCCCACCAGATGCGGGTCGTTCACCACGTTCGCCGCGGGGTTGCACTCGCCGCCCGTGCGCACCTGCAGATGAACCGGCTTCGAGTCCGTCGCGTACTGCGCCGTCATGTCGCCGCACGAGTAGTCGATGTTGTCGTGCACCAGGTAGCACGCGCCGTCCGTCTTCTTGCCGTCGATCGTGATGTCGGGGATGAACTGCCAGTACGTGCAGCTGCTGTACCCCGCGCACGTGTTGCAGCACGTCTGCGGGGACGCCTTCTTCAGCGTCAGCGGGTTGCCCTTCACGTACACCTCCACGCCCAGCTTGTTCTTCAGCAGGTTCGACGTCTTCCACTTGGCGGCGATGCCGCCCTTGCTGCAGTTGGCCGGCGTGCACGCGCCCTCCCCGGGCTTGCCCAGGTCCTTGTGGCATTTCATTTTGTTCCATCCCGCAACCTTCACGTCCACCATCAGCATACTGTCCGTGCTCGGGCTCACGATCGTCGTCCCCTCGAACTTGTCAAGCCCACCGGCGGCCGCCGCCTTCTCGATGCCAGGAGGGACCTCGGTTGCCACGCCATTCTCGCCCTTGGCCTTGTCCAGGTTCACCGCCGGGTTGTTGGGTCCGGTCACCACGGTTTGACCTGCGGACGCCACTGCCAGCAGCACGGCGAACGTTGCGACGAAAAGTAGACGCGCCATGAAGTACGTTGAGTGTGTTATGATAAGAATTTGATGGACGAATCGCCGAGATTCTTCAGAATCCTTTTCTCTATGGTATGTTAGGTACTCCTAAACTTCGATCTGACGGACTAATTCTTAACCACCCTTTTTGTACCAGCACCGATTTGCCTTGTCCGCGTTGTGTGTGGGGTTGGATACCTCGCTTGTGGGAAACTACGTGAACAGTTAAGCGCTGTGTTGGAATTGTTGCGTGTCGCAGCGAGGTCTCGGCTCTCATCCACCCTCGAGTCACCAGTGCCAGGTTTGATTCAGGAGAAACAAATCGCTTTGCAGTCTCCTTGGATCCAACCTGGATCAGCAGCGGCCTGTGCTTGAATCTTGTTGCCTTCGAAGTTCAGGTCGCTTCACTTTGATCTCAAGGTGGGTTTGAAAGCGCAGGTCTCTACGGTGAAATTTTGCGCGGCCTGGGAATTGATCGGTTTGTTGCCCTGAGATCCAGCCTGACTTGGCAGGTGGATGCGAAAGTCTGGAGTACCTGCGGCCCGGGTAACCAAGAAGCTGCTTCCTTTGGTTTGATACTGTGCACCATCGACTGTCGAGTGAGGCTACTTGAAAATACAATAAAACTACAATAAAAGCAATTGCCATAAAATGCCTGGTGTGTCAAGCACCTAAAAGACAGGTTGGGTTGCAAGGGAAAGGGCAGTCAACTAGCTTTGTTACTTTCAGGTCAAAATACCAGTCACCAATAGCTTCTGCCATTGTCTGAACACATCATATGCAAAGAGAAAATGATGGGGGGGAACAGAGTGTAGAGAACAAATTACTTCGATGTATGAATGGGAGAACACTCATTTGCGTCCACATAACCAGACATGCACAAATCGAACGTGCTATAAGTAGCAAAAAGCTTTATCCATGCAGCAAAGCACAACATAATGGCGACATTATTCAATAAAATGACTCACCTTGCCCCCAACATGAGGAGCACCAGCCCCGTGCCATGCTTGCGATGCCAGTGCCTGGTGCAATGGACGAACAGGTAAGGAGTGAGCAGGGAAGTGAGAGAAAAGGAGAGATAGAGAGGGAGCAACAAGTGGTTCACGGGCCGTGCCTGTGCCACTCACCATGCAGCACCACTCACCATGCAGCACCACTCACCATGCAGCACCACTCACCATGCAGTACCACTCACCATGCAGCACCACTCACCATGCAGCACCACTCACCATGCAGCACCACTCACCATGCAGCACCACTCACCATGCAGCACCACTCACCATGCAGCACCACTCACCATGCAGTACCACTCACCATGCAGCACCACTCACCATGCAGCACCACTCACCATGCAGTACCACTCACCATGCAGTACCACTCACCATGCAGTACCACTCACCATGCAGTGCCACTCACCATGCAGTGCCACTCACCATGCAGTGCCACTCACCATGCAGTGCCACTCACCATGCAGTGCCACTCACCATGCAGTGCCACTCACCATGCAGTGCCACTCACCATGCAGTGCAGATGGCAGGACAACAGCAGAGCTCCATTGCGCGAGGCAGAGGCGGAGACCCCTCCTTCCTGGGAGCGGAAAGCCTCGCCCTCCACAACACCAAGCCCATCCCTCTTCATCGCTTCAAAATCCCTCCCCATTTCTCCAGCTTCCAGCCCCTTGTGATATCCCAAGTCAGCCCTCTCATCTGCACTCGGCTTCTCCTCCTGCTCCCCTTCTTCCTCCTCCTCATTCCCCTCCACACGTGCACCACCCTCAGTTTCTTTTGCCTCCTCATTCTCTTCCTTCTCCTCTTCACCCCCCCTTTTCTCTTCACTCTCCGACTCCTCCTCACTTCCCTTCTCCTCACTCCCTCTCTCATTCTCACCTCCCGTCTCCTCCCCGCTCTTACTCTCGCCATCACCCCCTTCCTCCTCCTCACCATCACCATCCCCTATGTTCTTTTCCCCTACCTCCTCCGTACCTCCCTCCTCAACACCAATCCCTCCGCCTTCCACCAAAGTCAGGCGGCGGCGATGGTGGGGAGGAGGGCTAAGAGAGTGCGTGGCAGGGAGAAAGGGGGAGAGCTTGGTAACCATCTGGTGGTGGTACCCTGGGTGGGGTGGGGTGGGGTGGGGTTTGGAGAAAGAGAGGTTCCGGGGCGCATGACGGGAAGGAATTAGGTGGGGCATTTTTTTGAGACGTCTCAAAAATACACTTCTTTCACGTGGCGATTTGGATCAGTCAGGTGGATTATGGTTTTGATGCAGCCACGAGATGTGGGTCTTCTCTAGAGTGGATTTTTGAGTCGACTCAAAAAATCGACTCATCACACGTGGGTCTTCTCTAGAGTGTGGAGCAACCACGAGAGTCGGGCAAGAACGGGGCGCGGGGAGGGGTTTGGTGCGCGGTGGGGTGCGTGGGGGCACATCACATCAGTGCACGTCGCCGCACATCACCGCACGTCACCACTCATCACCGCACTGTACCGTGGAGCAGCTGCAGCAGGTGGGGCGGGCAGGAGCGCAGGTCAGTGCGGCAGTGGTGCCAATCCAGAGAGGGGAAGGCATGCTGCTGGGCGAATGAGAAAGACACCTAATGTTGGCAGGAAGGACGGGGGAGAGGGAGGGGGAGAGGGAGGAGACGAGGGGCCAAGGTTGGAGGGGAGGGAAGTGCAGGAGGGGACTCTGACCAGACGAACCAGAGTTACCGTGGTTGATGTGGCTGGTCCATCTGCTCAGAAGGTTTAGGTGATTCAATTCAACTCACCATTTAGCATGATTGGTCTAACCTGAAAAAAGTACTTGTCAGGAGTGACCCAACCTGAGGGATTACCTGCCAGGAGTCGTAGAGGGGGTTGAGAACGAAGAAGGGCTGGCAGAGGAAGGGAAGGAGATGCTCCGGGAAGAAGCACTGCGGGCGTGGTTGGGGCATGGTGCATGGCGGATGGTGCATGGGGGATGGTGCATGGCGGATGGTGCATGGGGGATGGTGCATGGGGGATGGTGCATGGGGGATGGTGCATGGGGGATGGCGCATGGTGCATGGGGGATGGCGCATGGTGGATGGGGGATGGTGCATGGGGGATGGCGCATGGTGGATGGGGGATGGTGCATGGGGGATGGTGCATGGGGGATGGTGTATGGGGGATGGTGCATGGGGGATGGTGCATGGTAGATGGTGCATGGTGCATGGTAGATGGTGCATGGTGGATGGTGCACGGTGGATGGTGGGGAGAAACGGAAGAAATCAATTAGTCATAAATCAGAGTTAATGATTCAGGGATAATAGAATTTGAGTCATGGATGGGCAATGGGCCATGACAGGATTTGGATCATAAATGATGGGTAATGTGACATACATGATGGGCAATGTGACATACATGATGGGCAATGTGACATACATGATGGGCAACGTGACATACATGATGGGCAATGTGACATACATGATGGGCAATGTGACATACATGATGGGCAATGTGACATACATGATGGGCAATGTGACATACATGATGGGCAATGTGACATACATAATGGGCAATGTGACATACATGATGGGCAATGTGATACACATGATGGGCAATGTGACATACATGATGGGCAATGTGACATACATGATGGGCAACGTGACATACATGATGGGCAATGTGACATACATGATGGGCAATGTGACATACATGATGGGCAATGTGACATACATGATGGGCAATGTGACATACATGATGGGCAATGTGACATACATGATGGGCAATGTGACATACATGATGGGCAATGTGACATACATGATGGGCAACGTGACATACATGATGGGCAATGTGACATACATGATGGGCAATGTGACATACACGATGGGCAATGTGACATACATGATGGGCAATGTGACATACATGATGGGCAATGTGACATACATGATGGGCAATGTGACATACATGATGGGCAATGTGACATACATGATGGGCAATGTGACATACATGATGGGCAATGTGACATTGCCAGTGTTTCCTACGTCTTCCCAACGGTGAGCCATTGGTGCAGAAAGCATCGCTAAATAACCTGTGACCCCGCATGTACTCGATGCAGAGAGAATGGCAACAGAGAGTGTGAGCCTACTACACGCACGCAGCTCACTGAGACATGTCTGAATCTCGATGGAGAGATAATGGCAACAGTGAGCACTAGCAGCAAAAACGAAGAAGCCGCAGCAGGAGCAAGATTAAAACGGGCGAGAATGAAGACAAGCGAGACGGAAGAGGAGCGAGAAGGAAGAGGAGCAGACGAGATAGTGGTCCTGTGGTGCCACCGCTGCCGTGCACCGCTCATGCAGCGACACGTTCTGATGCGCCGCGCGTGGAGGGGGAGGGGAGGGAGTGGAAGAGGGGAAGGGAGGGGCAATTCGAGGGGGGGGGAGGGGGTGGTGTGGGGGAGGGAGAGGAATGGGAGGGAGGGGATTTGTTTTAGTCGACTGAATATAAAAACTTGCATGTAGGGAAAGATAGGGCAGGACGATTGGACGTGGGTACAGGTGAGGAGGCAATGGGGACTTGGGCGTTGGGAAGTGGAGACGTGGGAAAACAGCCATGCTGATGCTCTGTCTGTGCACCACAGCACGTGCAGCACGCATGCAAGAGAGGAACCCGCGCCTGACAAGTCAGCTCATGACAGCTCATGCCAGCTCACGACAGCTCATGACAGCTCACGACAGCTCATGACAGCTCATGACAGCTCGTGCCAGCTCATGCCAGCTCATGGCAGGCCGTGCCAGCTTATGCCAGCTCACCTGAGTTTCAACAACCGCTTTGAACCGCTCTCGCATGCGCCTCACTCCTCCAACATCCTCTGAGTCCAAAAAGAACCCCGCATCACCCATGCACTTCACCACTGGACCTCCCCCCACTCGCCCTCTCCCTTCCATCGCCCTCTCCTCCGCTCCTCCACCCGCCCTTCCTTCCTCGGCCCCTGCTCTCTCGCTCGTTCCTGATTGGCTGGAGGATTGCTGCAGAATCTCCGCCAGCCTATCACAGTGCTGCAAGGATGCGAGACCGCCAGCAGAGCAGCCGGATAATAAAACAAGGGATGCCGCCCCCATGCCGTGGTGGGACACGAGGTACCGGGTTACGGCGTCGAAGATGCGCCTCCCCCGGAAAAAGACGAGACCGTTGTTTGTCTGGACTGGCTCGTTTGCGTCACCCAGGTATGAGGCACCGTCACAATAACGAACGAAGACCAGGTTCCAATTGTAGAAGCCTGTTGAAAAGTGGAGGAGAGGAAGATGGAATGGCGGAGGAGCAATGGCAGAGGGACAATGGAGGAGGGGCAATGGAAGAAGAGCAAGAGGAAGAGCAATAGTGTAAAGGGTAAAATACCTTTTGAGACGTCTCAAAAGGGTAAAATACCTGTGCGTGGGCAGTCCTGCTGCTTAAACAGGAACAACATCTTGGTGTGGTGCGGGGTGTGGAAGAATGATTGTGGCTCGGTTCTAGTCCAGTGCATCATACACTTCGATTGTGATACCTCGCCAGTGCACCATACTCGCCTCGCCAAATCACCCCCAGGATGACTTCTATTGAGCGCACCAGCATTGATTCGTTTTGCACTCTACAGTCAACCCTTGACTTTCAACGCACCGGGGTTGAATGTGGAGTCATGCTATGAGGGGGGATCCTCCCCAAGGCCATGAGTCCCCCCAAGCGCTTGGACGAAACAAGATGGGTGCCTTCAAGACGATTTAGACGCCGCATCAGGGTCTACATTCAACGCACCAGGGTTGACTTTCAACGCATCAGGGTTGAATTTCAACGCACCAGGGTTGACTTTCAACGCACCAGGGTTGACTTTCAACGCACCAGGGTTGACTTTCAACGCACCAGGGTTGACTTTCAACGCACCAGGATTGACCTTCAACGCACCAGGGTTGACTGTGGGGTCATGGGAGAGAATGCCTCCGAAGGCCATGAGTCCCCCCATGCGCTTGGACGAGCCCAGATGGGTGGCGGCGCGATGCGCACACTCCTCCTCGCTGTTACACCACCCCCCGCCCTGTTACAATACACGCATGTGACAATAGCAAGTGAATGCCACATTGGCACATGCTGTGACGGCTCAAGAAGACCCTCTGCTCTGTAGCAATACATGCACGTGACGGCATTGAGGGTGGACAATGACGTGGACGAGCAATGATATTAATTGACCTGCATTGATAGCGTTTGACCTGCGTTGACCTGCATTGATAGCGTTTGACCTGCGTTGACCTGCGTTGACTCGGTGCGTCCTACCTCGAGATATATCAGCCAGTTGTTCGCACCGCGACCCCATCCGGGGGAGAGATGGATGGCCGGCGGCGAGCCATCTAAGCACACTGCCCCGTCATCATCCAGGTCAGCAAGCACCGTCAGCGGGACCAGAGGCGACCGGGTGACGTGCTCCACGTCAGCGTCCTCGTGGAAATTCATGGCTGACGTGGCATTTGGAGCCTCGCGACCCGGAAACGCGGAAGGGGAGAGGGATTCTGGTGAGGTGCCGGTGTGAAAAAGAAGCTCGCGAGTGGATTGAGGGAGGACGAGAAAGAAGGAGACGACTAGCAGCGCGGCGATGATCGCGAGGCGAGTCTGCGTGGTTGAGTGGAGAAGGAAGGAGCGCTGGTGTGTCGCGAACGGGGAGCTACTGGCCCGCGAATGCGGTCCCGCCATGGTTCTGTTACTAAACTTGTATCGCAAACTGCCGACCGCACGACGACGAGGCTATGATGACGGTACTGCACATCCGAATTCCTCCGTGTGCTTGGTGCTCAGGTGGTCCTGCTTTGCGTCTTTATACGAACACACTACGACGTAGGATAGCTAACTAGGGGAAAGGCGCAAAAACGGGAAAATGGACGAGACCACGGCCCGTTTTATGTTGTACCGGTAAGATAATATATCTTATTCTGGTATTTGATCACAGAACTGCCTCATTATGTCATCATTTATTGATCTTCCATATTGTATCATAACGTTGAAAGTAAAATACATAAGCAGCAAGCCACCAAAACTTAGAGTGCATGTCTTTTCCATAAGCCTTTATTTTCTGTCAGTTGTCAAACCATGTAGTAAGGAATCTTTTACGAATGCATTTGTAGCGGATTGTTACGAGTGCAATTGAGTGAACGAACGAGAATTGCACTATCGAAGCAAGAATACAAATGAGCGAAGGCATGAGCGAACATTATATAGCGAAACTACAGTGGTAACGGTAATGGTCGCGCGACGAGCCTGGGACTGAGGTTGGGAAAATGTCGAAGCGTAGGTCCGGAGCGCGGGTTACCAGCCGAGCCGTGAGGTCGGGATGCGATGTGCGAAAAGGGCGGGATGATGAATGATGCGATGGTCGCAAGTGGTAACGGTGCTGACTGAGGTGCTACAGTGATGTACACGTTGAGCAGGGACGCGAAGTAAGGAAAAGGGAATTTCCTTACACTACCCCCCCTCCTAAGGAGGTCCTCCTTATGAAAGCGCGTGGATGTCTCGGAAATTGCGGCTACGCAGGTAGTCGGTGACGACGGGGTGATTTTCAACTTTCTCCAGGGGAACCCAATTGTCCTCGGTGGGGGTACGATCTTTCCAGCGGATCAGAAACTCCACTTTTCGGGCTCCTCGAGGGTCGCGAACTCTGTGGCTCAGGATCTTGTCGGGGGTGATGACTGGTTCGGTTGGTGGTCGTGTCATGCTGGTGGGTCGATGTCGTGGGAGTTGGCTGGTGGATGGCACGTAAGGGCGAAGTAAGCTGACGTGGAACGAGAGGCTGACGTACCAGTCAGCAGGGAGGAGGAGGTGCGCGGTGACTGGCGTGACCATGTGACTGATTCGAAATGGCCCACAGTATCGAGGGCGGAGTTTTGGAGTGATGGGCAGGCGGAGGTTCTGAGTGTCGAGTAAAACGAGGTCGTCGGGCTGATAAGTAACGGGTCTGCGATGGCGATCGGCGTTGCGTTTAGCGATGATGTTTGATTTTTTGATTGCTTCTGCTGCCCTGGTCCGTGCTGCTTGCAGAATCTCGGCGAACTGTTGTGCTCGTGGGACGGGGTTGTCGGGATTCGGTGTCATGGGTACTGTTGGGTCCTGTCCGTAATTCAAGTAAAACGGCGACTGTTGCGTCGTGGCTGATGGTGCGTTATTGTATGCGAACTCGATGAGTGGCAGCTGCTGTTCCCACGTATTCGGATCGTCGCACGTGGCTCGAATCAGCTGCTCCATGGTCTGATTTGTCCGTTCTGTTTGTCCGTCGGTTTCGGGGTGATAGGATGAACTGAACTGTAAGTGCGTGCCGAACTGCTGCCACAGGTTCCGCCAGAAGTTGCTTGTAAATTTCGTGTCTCTGTCGCTGATGATCGATGCGGGTATCCCGTGCAGTCGAACGACGGTGGTGATGAAGAGTCGGGCGGTTTCCTCGGCTGTGATTGATTTCCTGCATGCTGCGAAATGAGCCATCTTCGTTAGTCGATCGACGACGACCAGGATCGCGTCATTCCCACTCGCCCCAGCTGGTAACCCCGTGACGAAATCCATCGTCACCTGCTGCCAAGCACGCTCTGGGGGCGGGATGGGTTGTAATTGTCCCGCCGGCCGCTTCCTGCTTGACTTCATGAGCTGGCAAGTGGGGCACGATGCCACGTGTCGTTGCACATCGGTCAACATTTCTGGCCAGTAGTAGTACCGCTGCAGCTGCTGCCGTGTTTTTTCTACCCCGAAATGTCCCGAGGTAACTCCGTCGTGTGCTTCCTGTAACAGTAGTTCCCGCAGTAGCGTGTATCCTGGTGCCCAGATGCGGTCGGTTCCAGCTTTTACGTAATAGACTCCTTTTGCCGCTGCGAATTGTTGTGAGTTGCCTCCTGTAAAGAACGGGTCTGTTTGATATCCGTGGGTAAATAGGCCTGTCAGTAGCAGGCTGGTCTGGGCGAGTAGTATCGCGTGGATCTGGGCAGTGGGGCGGGTCAGTGCGTCGGCGATATTCGAGGCTCCTTTTTTGTATGTGACCGTATAGTGAAAATTCGACTCGAGGAAATCGAGCCATCGAATCTGTCGTGGGTTGAGGTGGGGCTGTGCGCGGAGGTACTGTAGAGATCGATGGTCTGTCCGTACTGTCACGTCTGCGCCGGTCAAGTAGCAGCGCCACACTTTGAAAGCGTGCACGATCGCGAGCATTTCGCGGTCGTGTATCGGGTAATTTCGCTCAGGCGTATGTAGTTTGCGTGATTCGTAGGCGATGGGTTGGAGGCCGTCGCCGAAGTCCTGTAACAGTACAGCTCCGATGGCGATGTCACTTGCGTCGGTAACCACTTCGAAAGGGCGGTGGGGATCAGCGATGCGTAGAACGGGTGGTGAACAGAGAACGTTTTTCAGGGCAGAGAAGGCAGCATGCTCTTTCTCCCCCCACGTAAAAGGGACCCCCTTACGCAGTAAATCATTGAGTGGGGCTGTTAAACGTGCCATGTCGGGAACGAACCGTCGAACGTAATTAACAAAACCTAAAAAACTCTGCAGTTCCGTGATGTTCGTCGGGGGGCGCCATGTGGAAAATAGAACGAGAATGAATGAACTATGAGTGAAGTGAGTACAAATAGCAAAACCCTAATTGGGTTGTACCCCCTATGGTATACCCCACTGTAGCCTACACAACAGCATAAGCTACATATATGTTCTGACACACCCCCATAGGCAAAGTGGGGGAGAACAAGGGGTCACAAGACCAGTCAAGCAAAGCAAAGCAAAGCTCAGGGTGGATCACAAAGTCACCACACAGTCCGAGTATAAGAGCAAGGCCACAAGGCCACTTCACATGCAGGAGTACACAAATATATATATAAAGCTAGACAAGCAAGAGCAGGTATATATATGTGACAGTACAAGTAAAGTCAAGAGGAGAGCAAGTGAGGCAAGACAGGCACAAGACCCAGCTGGGTGCAGAAGCGCTGATGGTCACAAGGCGCGGGTGCCTTGGTGAACACATCAGCAGTATTGGCCTCAGAGGCCACGTACGCAAGCCGCAACTGTCCACGCTGCTGTAGCTCACGAGCAAGGAAGTAGCGAAGAGCAATGTGCTTCGTTCTGTGCTCCAGACGCTGCTCTCGACACAAGGCCAGCATGGCCTTGTTGTCTACGTACAGCACTGGAGGAGAACGAGGCGGCTCTCCAAGGTCAGTCAGCAGGTAGGTGAGCCAGCGGAGCTCCTGTGCAGCCATGGCCCCTGCGTAGATCTCAGCCTCACAACTCGAGCTGAGAACCGAAGACGAGCGAGTAGCCCGCCACGAGACAGAGCCGGAGCCAAGGCTGAAGGTGTAACCCTGTGACGACCGCTGCGTAGCCTGGTTGTCAGCCCAAGAAGCGTCCGCGTGACCTGTAAGTACCACTGGACTCCGCCCTCCAAGCACTAGCCCCATGCCCGACGTACTGCACAGGTAGCGCAATACCCTCTTCGCTGCAGCCATGTGCTCTGGTCGGTGTCTCCCAGGAGCAACATAGCGTGCAAGAATGCTAAGAGGGTATGCAAGGTCAGGTCGTGTGCAGGTCATCAGGTACATGAGGCAGCCAACAAGCTCTGGGTACGGGCCACTCGACTCTACGGACTCATCCGAAGGCAGAGCTGAGAGCGAGTGACGAGTAGACAGAGGAGTGGCCTGAGGCGAGGAGTACGTGAAGCCGAAGCGCTGAAGGACCTGCTGCACCATGTGTGACTGAGTCAAGGAAATGGTGCGGCGTGCTCCGTCCCGAGTGATCTGCAAGCCAAGGTAGCTGCGCAGTTCACCCAGGTCTGTGCACGTGTGTCTCTTCAGGAGCTCGGACTTCACGTAGGCGAGTCCAGCAGTGTCCGCTGTGGCAAAGACCAAGTCGTCGACGTACACGACGATGTAGAACGGCGGCAGTGAAGTGTCGGTGCGCAGAAACAGCGACGGGTCAGCAGTAGAAGGAGCAAACCCAAGGGCCGCAAGCGTAGTCCTCAGTGTGTCGTGCCACTCACGTGGTGCCTGGCGGAGACTGTAGACTGGCCGTCGGAGGCTCCACTGGGTGCCAGGAGGGAAAGTCCCAGTGAAGCCAGGTGGACGGCGCAGCCAGATCTCCTCGTGCAGGCTCCCCTGCAAGAACGCAGTACTGAAGTCGAGAGAGTGAAGCTCGTAGTCGCGCTGAGCGGCTATGTGCAGCAGCACCCGAAGAGTGGTCATCTTCGGGGTGGGAGAGAAGGTCTGAAAGTAGTCAACTCCCTGCCGCTGACTGAAGCCACGGGCGACGTACCGCGCCTTGAAGACAGGTGGAGAGCCCGGCGGCCGCTTCACCCTGAAGATCCACATGCCACTGACGATGTTCGCCCTAGGAGGGGGAACCGCGTCAACGTAGGTGCCTGTGGACTTCCAGGAAGCCATCTCTGCATCCATAGCTGCCTGCCACTGAGAGGAGTAGGGACCCTCTACGGCTTCCGCGTAAGAGCGCGGAGTCGGGATGTTTAGTGCATCCGGGTCTCCCTCAGGAGCAAGCAGTACAGACGCGAGATGAGGTGAAGCAGCAGCCAGACACTGGAACTCCTCCTGCCTGTCCTCTAGGACGTCCGTGCCAAGAGCACACTCACCCCCGACGGACGGAGGACAGACAGACGCAGACTCAGCAACAAGACTAGCAGCGTAGTCTAGACGGCAGCGAGCAGCAAAGTCGACGAGCTCAGC